CAGTGGTGCCCGGGCGAATTCCCAGCTGCCAGCCTGTCTGACAACACATGGGGGCAGCCTGCTCCTGTGCCTCTAAGAGTATCTTGAAAGAAGTCCAGCCTTCCTGGACCCCTTTGCCCTCTAGGACTCTATCCCAAGGGACTTCCTCAACCAGTGTTCGAAACAGGTTGAAGTCCACCCTTCGGATGTCCATGGTAACAGTTTTGCTGCCTCTCCTCCTTACCTGACCATGCATTGAGAACTCTATCATTGACTCTATCACTGAGCCCAAGATAGCCTCTGACCACCACACCACCCACCAGTCCTTCTCTGTTTGTAAACAACAAGTTCAGAAAGGCACCTCCCCTGGTGGGCTCCCTCACCAGCTGAGTCAGGAAGTTATCTTCCACACACTCCAGGAACCTCCTGGACTGTATCCTCTGTGCTGTGTTACATTTCCAGCAGATGTCTGTTAAGTTGAGGTCCCCATGGTCCCCCCCAAGAACAAGGGCTTGCAATTTTGCAGCATCTGCCAATTGTCTATAGAACAAGTCATCAACCTCTTCATCCTGGTTGGGTGGTCTGTAATAGACTCCCAACAGGATATCTGCCTCGTTGGCCTATGTCAACATTACCCATAAACACTCCATCAGTCCATCACGCTTGTTGAGCTCCATACAATCAAAACACTCCCTAATATAGAGAGCCACCCTTTCTGTCTTGCCTATTCCTTTTGTAGAGCCTATAGCTGTAGAGCTTAATACTGAGTTGCATGTGAGCAGCTGTGGTAGATTTCTATGCAGAGGATGTCAAGAAGTTTCTCATGACTTTTCATTGTGCTCATTGTAGGCAGTATCTCATGGAAGTGAGTGTTTTTATTGTCCATTATGACCAAGTAGTAAAGATGCATACATGATTTTTACTTTTCTTTTGTACATTCAAACCTGAACAAAAAACATGTTTAGTAAAGTGTTTTTTTTTTCTCTGTCTCTTTAGCGTGTTCATAGTTATATGTGGGCTTTTAAAAGTAAATCTTTAATGGAATTGTTAAGTGCTTTTCAGACAGAATCACTTATGTCTGTAAAAGAGAATGACAATGTTTTCAACAATGCATTTTTACTATTCTCTTAACTTGGCCAAGTGTATATTCCAAGGATATGCCTTTTCTTCACAGTATTCCATCCAACTTCAAATAATTTATGTTTTGAGTTCAGGCAGCCTGTTCTAGGCAGAGATGGAAAAAAGCAGCAGCTCTATGCTCCTTTAAACCTAATTTTCTTGAGAAGTAACTAAGTGCAAACTCATATACACAAATACACATAATAAAGTATTTAAATAAATATAAGTGTATGTGTATATGCAAAGACAGATAGATATGTATGTTTGTATGTATTGACAAACTGCAAAGAGGGTAGAACTGGTAGGATCAATTTTAAATATGCCAACACAATATAGTGAGTAATCTTGTGGCTGGGCTCATATGGAGTGTGGGAGACTTAATTTCTGGTTTCTCGTCGGAACTGGGAAAGGGTTGCTTGTCAGTCACACACTGCAATGCACTTCTACAAGTGATTATTAGCTGCTTGGGCTTAGGGTCCTCTCAGTTAGGTCTGTTGAAACTGTTCATGCAGTAAGATTAACTATTCCCTAGGGCCGGTACCTGCTGCTTGTCAAATATGTGTCTTAACCACTGAGTATAGGTGATCTCTTTCTGTAGCACTATTAATATTTATCATTCAGATGAAGTCGAACACCACCCGCAGAGAATGCGGCTTTGAGACACTTGCAGTCAGTCAGTCTGGCCATAAATTTCACGCCTGGAAGAAAGTGGCATATTGCCATGAATTTTTGGTTTCTGCATTTGCATTTTCTGACCAAATGTATCAATGAAATATTTAGTTCATAAAAATTCCAGACCAAGTTCTGAGAGCCCAGTTGATGGCAGTCAAAGTTTGATGGGGAAAAACTTAAGGGCAAGAGGTTACAATTAGCAGTTCTATCTGAACATTTCAGTTACACATGAGGTTTTTGCAGCTAAAGCTTCCCACTGCTCTTTGGTAATGATCCTTGAATCATTCCAGTTATATTGGTGACTTTCCAAGTTGTACAGGTTCAGAAAGTATTTATGTGCTGATTCAGCAGAAGGCTTACCAACCTCCAGCAGGAAGCCAAAATAAGCAAAGTGCTCTTATTTGTACAAGGCAGTTCTGTTTGCACGTTTACATTAAGACACATAGGCTACTTCCTGCCACACCCCTTTTTATTGCTGTGTTTTTTGTGGTAATGGTAAACAAACAGAAAACAAAGAGATCCTGTTACTGGCGAAGAGACAAGGAGTCAGTTCTGTACTAATAATGGTTGTCTGTTAAGCTTTGCACCAGGCATGGTGTCGGCAGGTTGCCATCCCGTTCCCGAGTCTCAGTGCTGGTTTCTGGCGTAGAAGTGGAAGGCAGTGTTAGCTGTTACCTTGGTGATCTCTTTCCTGGCTGGTGGAGATGTGTTTGTCAGAGCTGGACATAGGTGCATAAGCTGAAAGAAGGCTCACTGAAAGTGTTTGCAAGTCTTGTAATACCTTGTCATCATTTTTTCCCCAAATAAGGACTTCAGGGATGTACTGTCAGAAACCTTCACGACAGAGTAGTTTCTAAACTATCCCTATCTAAACTATATTTGTGTTTTCAGTCCTAACAAGCCTGACGGCAAACTGTGTATCTAGAAATGCCTTAATAAATTTCTGTCTCTTGGGGCTGTCATTATGCCTCTTTCAAGGATTATGCTGCTTTTCTTCCTGCTTTGGGTAAAGTCAAATGAGTTGTGAAAGGGGGTGCCATGTGACCTCTGTTTATGTAGCTGTTCAAAACATACCTGGGCCAGTTCTGTTAAATCATCAGAGGTGTTCTGTTGGCTAGATTTTCACTCACATGGAAGACTTTGAAGAGCCAGGTTGCAAACTGGTAAAGCAAGCACAATAGCATTACTGAGCTATAGTGACTGCCCTCCGTTGCTGAAGCAGCAGTGAACACCTGGAAATGTGCACAGGAATGCTAATCTGTTTATTTGGATCACCACCTGCACAGCTTATCTAATTGTCCCCTTAACCAAACAGAGCAGTTTCTAGGTTTGCTGCCTACTTAGTAAGAACATATGTAGACTAATGAGTTCAATGTTTATAATGCACCCTGAATATGTGAAGCAGCGTACAAGAATGATTTGCAGTTTGTGCAGGTACTTCCCCATTACAGTGCTCTAGTGAAACAGTGGAGATACAAATCTTACCACAACAGGTCCTTAGAATTCTCTCTTTTGGCATTTTTGGTTTTACTTAAAAGATGTGAGAGGTTTTTTAACATGGTGTATTCTTTTTTTTTAATTTTTGCTAAATAGAGCCTTTTGAGACTTGACCAGAGCTAATTAAATTCACATAGTGATTCTGGGAGTGCACTGAGGCTTGCAGTACTCCCACACATTTATCAATACAGTATTATGGGAGACAAATGATTTTAGCATTTGAGATTAAGAGATTACTTTAAGAGTGTTTGATGCACACAAGCCTTCAGATGACTGAGCTGCATAACGCTTCCCATAGACGACCTTTCCTGATTAGACGTCTTTCTGAAATAAAGCTTAATCAAATGCCAGTTCTTATGCTCACTCAGGTACTCATAAAAACATGGATATGCATACTCAGAGTATTATCTGTCACCTGTGCCTGTGCTGAGGAGGGAGAAGTGCAGAGCATGCATAGCAGTTTTGTACGACAGTGCACCCAGAATAATAAACCTTGTGTCACATCTTTATTCATATAATCGAACATGGCTATGCCATTACACTGTTTAAAAGAAAGCTGCTTGTGTCATTCTGCAGGTCGTGGTCAACACCTACAGACATTCTGAGAAGGATTTATTCTGTTTGGTTTGGTGTATGGCATATATAAAATCCTTTCACTGCAGAGTGACTGTGTGCAGTTCTGCAATCTGTGTTATTTGGGAAATGATCTATGATAACAGCAGTCCCATCTTGCTTAAAAATCTGCAGCTCCTCAGAAGTGTTGCATCTTAGAGTGACAAATCTCCTGAGGACAGGAGGCTTCCAAAAACACTTTAAATCTAGTGCTGACACATAGCCCTGAAGTGCATTGTGGGTTTGATGGTCATTTCCACTGGGTTGCTCAGTTGCATCTAAAAGTAAATGTGATAGCAGATAAAAGTATTTGAATTGTTTGTAGCCATTATGCATTTGCTGGAGGTTTTTCCTCTCTTTAGCTAATTCATAGAGTACAGTTCTCTTCCTTGCCCGCAACAAGTAGAGCACAAAATGTAACCTCAGTAGCTGAGCCCAGCCTCCCACTCAAAGAAGTGCCTTCCAACCAGCAGAGCCATAATTTTATGTTATGGGTGCTCTGATTTAACACATTAAATTCAGTAAACCTTGAGGGCAGCCAGATGCAAGGACAGTTCAGTTTTGCTATAAACAAGCCTTACCAATTTCCACCGAATTAACCAGAAGTGCTGCTCACTCCATCTGGTGCCAAATTTGGCTGTCTGGGCAAAAGGGCAGGAAGCAGCACAATAATTGTCTCTTCTGTCTTGCTTCTTAATACTGCCATCAACAGTTAGTGAAAAAGCCCAGTGCAACTAATGGTTGCAGACAGGTTGTCCTAACAAAGACAAGGTATGTTGTCACAGGTTTTAGGCCAAATTATGTTCCTTGCTATGCTGCGGAAACCTCCAGGATGTGTCAGGAGCCAGAAAAGGTGTGACCAAGAGGCACCTTGAGATTTTGCACGTTCTGTTGGCTGAAAAACTGCTGAGGTTCACTGCTCCATCAGGAAGCAGTTTTTACACAGTTATTTTTCTGGTTTCATCTGTGGGGAATACTGAAGTATTTTTTCCCAAACTATAGGATATGTAGTTTCAGCTAGCTGTCTGTATTTATTGACATATTCAAAGAGGTGTATGTACAACTATTCTTCCTTTTTTTTTTTTTTTTTTTAAATTTAGTGGGGCTACATCCATTGTCTACAGATGCAGGCAGAAAGGGACGCAGAAACCTTACGCCGTGAAAATGTTGAAGAAGACAGTAAGTCATTTTGTTTTGCTTTGCTTTGGGATGTGTTTGGGATTTCCTCTGGTTTCATGAAGCTTCTTTGTGTGGGGGAAATGGACCAGATTAAAGACCCTGCTAAGCTTGTATTTTTTTTGTGACAGAGCTTCAGCTCCTCATCACTAGAACAGCTTTTAGGGGTAACAGTACACTGTTGGGAATGCCTTATCCCCACAAATCTTGCTTGTACCTTTATCTGTCATTTTCTCTAAAAACTTAGATGTGGACAAAACTTTTTAGATGAAAATATCTTTTTCTTTTGCTATGGAAAAGAAGCAGGTTATGAATCGTTTAAAAGTTCTGTGTTTTCATTTTGCTGTAATACACTTAATACATAAAAAATATCATTACATGATTTATCTTTTTCAGAAGCTGATTAAAGCACCAATTCATACCCAAGTTTTGCTCAAATAAAATTAAATATTTTGTGGAGGTCTTTTCCCCCTACAAACTGGCAACAGAACCAGTTGAGACGTCACTTATTTTTAGAACTCCATATGTCACACTTCTACAATAGCTGTTTTTGTGTGTGTTACAACATAACTGGTGGAAAAAATGAAGAGAGACTGGAGAGGAGATGCAGGCAATGGATTGAGAGACTTTAAGCAGAAAGAGAGCGTGGGGGATAGGGTAGAGCAGTTCATGTTCCCAGGACGGGTGGAGAAATTTGAAAGGAAGCAAACAAGCTGTGAGGCATGGACATGATTTTTATTCATGAGTGGTTTCGATTCAGTTTATTCCAGTGTTAAATCATCCATTATTCCATAAAGTTCAGGAATGTTCACATGTAGCAACATAATGATGACTGGGTGGGCGTAAACATGTCTAAATGCTGAATTAACTGGTGGTCTCTGTGTGAGACATAATGAGTGGGTTCCACATGAGTAAAATTTTGGCATTAATTTGTCAATCTTGAAAGTATGCCAAAGTTTAAACTGGCACAGAAATTCAGTGGTGTGTGCTGCTTTTGAATTTGCATCTGGTGCATTGAGAGAGGCAGAGAATGTGAGGAGCTTGATGAAGAGAACTTAATTTTTAAGTTTTTATGAGTTCTTTATACTGGCAATTTCCATAATGTTTTAGGAGTATGCTTTCTTTTAATTTTAATTCTGAAATGTGTTATGAAGAATAATACTATTTAAAATATTTCTTTGCCTTTCTTTTCTGACTTAGTGGAGCTTGATTCATGTTCACAATGGCCACATTAATACTAGATCCACCTATTTCTGAAACTATTCATTTTAGACTTTTGGTGGACTGACTGTATTAAAGAGGGTTTTTTTTTTAAGTGTAGAAAGAATGTCAAGAAGAAGAATATAGGAATATGGTTATATAAGTTGCTTGGATAGCAGCAATAGCTTGGCTTAACACAGTCTTGAGTATATTAGCAGTGTGGTTAAGAAGTTCACGCAACTTGAGTTTTTCTCAGTGTGATTGATACACTTTGGGATGTTCTGTTGTGAGAACAAGTGAGTCTGTTAGGCAACTGAGTTTATTTGTATAATTGAGAACATGGGAGGCAATACTGTAAGGATGTGCCACTGCTTGCGTCTGTGTGACATGAGCTACTGTAGGTCTGTTCCAATGTGGAGACTTAATTATTATCACAGAGACAGAGCTGTGTTACAGTGCTCCCACAGCAGGAGACCTGATCTTTGTTCAGAGTATCTCAGTATAAAAATAAGCGAGCGTGGGACAAATCATACACCAAAATGTTGATCGTTTTAAGTTTCCTGTTGGCTTTTTTTTAAACAATTAGAAAAAAAACAGATGGCAGTTTTAACAGCGGAGGAAAAGTGATGGGAGGAAAAGAGGAAGAGCCTGTGACTGCTTTTGAGGCAGTGTCCCATTTCTTCACTTGCCTTTCTTACATGAGGAAGAGCAAGAAATTAGAAGACAAATTAAGATGGCAAAAGAGAAAATGCTCTGATTTTTCCATTCAAAGTGACTGACTTTAAACACTGCTCCAAACAAGACTAACTTGCTGAGGAAGAGTGTCTGTAAAAATGGGAAGATCAGGGAGAGGGTAGTCCAGCTTGTTCTGGAAGTGCTATTGAATTATGTATGATGAGGAGTCATTGGCAGCTCCAGATTTGTGAATGCTGGTCACTATGGTGCTGTAATTTGAAGTAAAACATCAGAAATTATTACTTTTGTCGTGTGGGAACAACTCAGAGAAGAAACAAATGATCCGTCTGGATTAAAAAATCTGTGCTAGCAACAGACTTCAAGAAACATATAAAGCCTACCAGTGTTCTTTTCATGTAAATAATAAGAATAATTTTTCATTTTGCCTGACTAATGCATTCTTATTTAAGAGCAAATAAAATTTTGTGCAAGACATATCAGCCAATTCTGAGAATTCACGTTTGTGGAGAGATGTAAGTATTTAGGAGATTCTATAATTAATGTTTTTTCAGCTTGATAAAATATATTCTTAGATTATTTGCTCAGTTCTATTAGTTTTTTTTCTGATTGCTAGTTAAGCCAAAAGAGGAACAGGAGAAAATATGTTTACTACAAATATTTTTTTTCCTGTTCATAGTAAAATAATATTTTGAGAATATTTTATTTCAATTTAGAGTTTTAATCATTCTTAATAATTAATTAAAAATCTATATTGTTCTTAAAGGAGGAGAAGGATGCTTTTTTGTGGGTTCAAAACTACAGAAGCTGAATACCTCAGTCCCTGTTTTGCTTTGGTTTGGTTTTGCCAAATTCATCTCAAGTTTAGGAGTAGTTTTGAATCCTTTAAGTTACATTTTTGGTGAGTAAAATCTTGTTCAAGGAACACTTCTGGTTCTTACCCCTGAAGTGTCTTGACTGTCAAAGTTAGGAAGCTGACAGTCAAATTAGAACTATAACTTCCAGAGCAGCTAAAAGACAACAGTTAGGAGGGCTAAAGAGGTCCCAAAAATATTTGTGTATTTATTAGTGGGAAAAAACCTCTCAGGTAATGTTAGGGAATTAAATTTGTAATTGTTCTGAACAGATACAAGAAGAAATATCTTTATAAAACAACATCTATGGGACAGATGGATAAACATGCTAAAGCATTACCTTTGATTTGCTCATCCAACCTTTATGCTCTGTACCTGAGCGTAATGGAAATGTGGGATTGTATTATATGATCATTATTTGATTTTTGCTGTGTTTAGCAGATCTTTTTAATTCCACACAGGTAGCAAATACTTCGTATTTATGTTTGAATCATGTAATATCTTTGTTAGGACATCCATTTCTTGAAGCAAGAAAGAAACAAAAGGAGGTCATGTAGCACTTCAGAAAAACTCATCAAATGAGCCAAGTACAGTGATGAGCTTTTACACTTGCAGTTGTAAATACGAGGCTGCTTATCTTTTCACAATGCAGTTTATCTCTGCTTGATGACTCTGCTTAAAAAACCATGAAGTATCTTTAGGATACATTTTATAAATATGATTGTTACTGCTCTTAAACTGAGACTCAACATTTTTTGAGATCTACAACCAGTCATTCTGGAATAGTTGCTGTTGCAAACAACATAGAGCATGTGGATCTTATTGGACGAACACAGGATTCTTGAAGGTAGCAAGCATGCTATTTCTGAAATGTCACCTCTTATCTGCATTCTGTTGGTATGTTTTGAGAAAGTTAGGCAGCATTTGAACCAGGCCCAGCCTGGAGGTTGTCTCATAGTCTGGTCAGGTGAATGCCTTCCAAGAAACTAGATCCATGTCTGCCTTAGATTTCTTACCTGAAAAATTTCTTCAAAAACAGTGAAGAGAACAGATGGTGTCTGTTCTGTGGTTTCTAAATTAAGACACTGTGTGCCTGCTTATGTTATCATAAGTCTACCCACTGCTAACAACTGTTAACAAGTAATTTGGGACCCACCATTGCAATAAAGCAACATGCTCTGTGGAAAGGAGAATGGGATGCTGAGCTGTGTTATCTGGGTCTGCATCCTGGTGTGTTCCAAATTCAGCTCGTGCCATTGGCTGAGCTACTTCCTTTGGTTTCAGCCTTCTCATCTGTAAAAATTAGATAATACGTATTTGATTTGCTTCTCAGCAATGATTTGAAGGATAGCCTGGTTAATCTTCCTGGGTTTTAATTGATAGGTCCTGTCCTCTAAGAGTGATTACATATTATGAAGCACTAGGCCCTCTGTGTCTCAGTCAATGAGGCATACAAGTACAGAGATTATTTTGGAAAATCCCCATTTTGATGTCATTTTTTTTCATGCATAGGCATCCTCCCTGACAGATTTTGTAATACTTAACTAATACTGCCTCAGTACTTTAATTAAAATTAAAAGTATTTATGAAGCAGCATTCTTCTTGCAGACTGGTTGACATTCAAAATCAGACAAATGTTCAGGTACATGAACTTTTTCTCAGATCAGAAACAGAACAACATTTTCAAGCAACACATATGCTGGAAATAGTTGTGCTAGGATAATTTAATTGTATTCATCAGTTAGACAATTTGAGAACAACAAACTGTTTATGTCTGTGGACTGGAGATGAGTGTGACCAAATGTAAAGGTAACGGGCCTCCCTCTAGAGTTAGGATCTGAAGGAAATTATAATGGTTCTGTAAAGGCATACATAAAAAGTCTCAACTGCATTCATGTTTGTGTATATATACATATATATTATTTACATATATATACAAACATACATATAAACATACTATGATGTATACATATATATTATAAACTATGTAAGTGCCATGGCGGGGCAGAGGGGAGTGGGAGTGTGTATCACACTTGAAGATATTGAGAATTAGTAAATCAGCCTTTTAGAGGAAAAGAGGTATGTTTGTAGCTATAAAATGAACATTTCCATTTGCTGCCATGTGGTTTTATGGGATTTACAATTTGAGTGCCTCCTGCTTCCATATGCCTCTTTCTCTACAGACTTTTTAATGAAGAGGTAGAGATATACAGATAGGTAGGTAGGCAGATTTCCTGTGGTGCAGTAATTGTCAGT